TGTTTGTTTTTGGTGTGTGTGTGTGTGTGTGTGTGTGTGTGTGTGTGTGAGAGAGAGAGAGAGAGAGAGAGAGAGAGAGAGAGAGAGAGAGGGGAAAGTGGGGGAGGTGATCTGCATCCATTTAATGTTGCTCTTATATACATGTTTAGTGCTGATCACTGGGGAATATATATATTACCAGGGGACACTTGCTCCTGATGAAAACTGCATCCATGAGTTGCCTATAGCTCTTCATATAGGCATGGGACCTCATGAGATCCGCTCCCCGCCCACATTGGTGTCACCTGGTGTTGTCATTGTGCAGTTCTAGCTAAGCCCACCATATTGTTGAGATTTCATGGGTACAGCATCCCTGCCATTGTTAGAAAACACTATCTAGAAGCAGGAGTCCTGGTCCCCTGACTCTTTAGGAAGAGGGGACAGAAAGGTTGTAGGAGTCAAAGACAGTTTTAGTTTCACTTTTGAGACTGTTTTCAGTGGATCTGTCATCCATATGAGTCAGTTTCTAGACTATCCATTGCTTCAGAGGCCTCATTACTTGTAACATCCAACCCAACACTGGGAGTCGCATGGACCACAGACCCACAACTGAAGCCCACAGCCCAGATTGTACTTTCTTCTTGTTTTGAGTACATACAGTGTTGTATTACTGAAACATAGCTGCCTGTTAGAGTGACAATTAATTGAGTAACTGTGAACAAGAGCCATATGCCCCCTGCAAACTTACTCCTTGCAGAAAAAGTGGACTGGCCCCTAAGGTAGACCACATCAATGGTGGCCACTAGAATTAGGCAACTGGTTGTAAACCAGTCTGTTAGAATTAAGTGTCTGCAAGTAATTATCACCTCTTCTAAGCAAGCACTAGTCAAAGTGACTTTCAAGAATCTGATGGGATTAAATCAATATGGCTATACTGACCTAGTCTCTGTTTTGACATGCAGATTGGCACTGACCAACAGGTAAGAGCTGTGTCTTCATAACAGTTGCAAAGGCACAGTCTGAGAAAAAGTCAATAAACTGTGACTATGAGTTTTTGTGACCTTGATGCCAAGGACAAACTTGAGGAGCACACAGGGCTTCATAGATTCTTGTTCATGGGCATTCTATCCCATGAACCTATCCATGTTAGGGAGGTGTGTGTGTGTGTGTGTGTGTGTGTGTGTGTGTGTGTGTGCATTTGCTTAGCATCCACAGGCAACAAGGAGCAATTGCCTGTGCTCACATAGGGCAGTGTGCCAGCCCCATAACCTGCACTTGTGGCCTAGGGATATGAATCTCTCCACACTTCTTGTTACCCACGTATGGCACAACACTGCTGTAATGAATTCCTAGATCTGGCCAGTGCTACTGAATCACTTTTTTAATACTTATCTTCCATCCTGTATAATTAGAGACTATATCTGCTTTATCCCTAAGTGTCACAGTTCTGATGTTTGTATTTTGGAAATTCTTTGCCAAACTCTAGTGACTTCCTGCTGTCACCTTAGAGATGTGTCATTGATAAGAATGAGGACTAGGAAAACAATACTGAAGAGAAAAACCAAGAGGATGTGATTTTTGATGTTTCCTGACAAGACAGTGTGGTTCCAAACCAAGATGCCATTGGTCATTTGTATTTCCTGTCTTTCCTTTTTCAGGCACTCCCCAAAGGTGGTCAAGGCTGCATCTCAGGTCCTAAACAGTATGTGGCAGTATAGAGATCTGAGGAGTCTGTACAAAAAGGTAAGCACTGCTTTCTTCTTAGCTGAGGCTCCTGAGCTCACAGGTTTTAGGTCCAGAGGTCCCAAACATGACCATAGTAAGAAGCATCCCAGATATAGTGGGTGCTTGTCCTGAGACAAGAGAAGAAAAAGTTCCATTCCAGATACCAAGACATTAACACATGAACCTTCTTAACTAAATAGAGCTAGACTTACATAATCTTACATCAAATCATCTCTTTTGATCCCATAAGAGCCTATAATTTCTTCTCAATTTATTTATTATCATTACTATTGTTATTACTAGTGTGTGTGTGATGTATGTGGACACATGTGCCATGGTGTACATACGGAGATCAGAGAATCACTTGGGGAGTTGGTCCCCTCTTCTACCTTTATGTGGGATCCAAGAACTGGGCACAAGTCTTGGGACTCGCTTGGCAAGCACCTTTGCCTGCTGAGCCATCTCACTGTCCCTGTGTTTTCTTTTATTTCCAAATATTCATTTCCTTATGCAATTTTTTTTATTTTATGAGTGTGTGTGTGTGTGTGTGTGTGTGTGTGTGTGTGTGTGTGTGTGTGTGTGTGTATGTGCTTTTTTTTTTTTTATGTGTGTGTGTGTGTGTGTGTGTGTGTGTGTGTGTGTGTGTGTGTGTGTGTGTGTGTGTGTGTGTGCCTGAGTGTATGCATTTATTCCACACAGAGATCAGAAGACATGGAATCTGCTGGATCTAGAGGTACAGGAGATTGTGAGCCACCATGTGGATGCTGGGAAAGGAACCTTCAAAGAGTGATCAGAACCACTGAGACACCTCTCCATTCTCCTCTTCCATTTTGAATTAACACATGATACATATACATATTTACAGAGTACAGCATGCTGGTTCAATACACTTATCCATTGGTCATCGGCCCACTCAGGGTATTTACCTCATCTAGTCTCTTAAGCATGTATCATTCTTCATGGTGAAAAAACTTCAAGATTCACCCATCTAGCTACTTTGAAATACATGATACAGTATTTTGAATAATACTAGTTCACTAAAAGTGCTATCTAAAAAATAGCACTTTTTTTAGAGCTCATGAATTCCAAAGTAGACCAAAAAGTCATAAATTTAGAGGTTTTGAAAAAACAAATTTAAACAGCATCAACAACTTTGAACAAGTAATTAGAGAGAGGACACAAGAAAAAATAAGTAACTCAAGAGCAATTGGGGGAGTCAAAAATATGGCAGCTGAAAAAAAAGTCACCTGAAAGATGCAGTCGCTGCTCTGTGTTCCTAGGCCCTGGTGACCTTAGTACATGGCTGCCCAGTAGAGCTGAAGGTCTCCCTGGCTGCCATAGATCCCAGGAGAAGCTTGGCATTCATTCTGTGTGCTCAGGAGGAAAGCAGGAATTCATAGTTTACATTTCAAAGCATCTTCACTCTCAAGGTGCTTCAAAAATAAAACCTGAAAAGCACCACTTCTGGGGATGTTGACTCTGCACATCATGGCTGAGCTCTACTGAAGAAAGGGATGCTTCAGGAGGTGGGGGGTCAGGCAGGCATTCTCGACAATATCTTCCAGGCACTGGTTTTTTGGGTTTTTGCTATTCTTAACTGAGCAAGTGTGGAGAATTTAAATTTCATTAATATGTACAGATGGGGAACATCGTAAACGCATGAAGAACACCTGGGTTCAGAAAGGAAGAGCAGGGCTGGGTGGGGTGGGTGGATTCCATCCACCACAGCCGAAGACCCTGGTGAGAGAGCCAGTGCCACTGTGCATACCCCTAGCCACCAGCTCCTGTGTGCCTGCAGCTCCTTGGACAGGGATGTGGGGTCACACATAGGATCTACATCACAAGGCATGAGACCCGTCTTGCCGGAGGCACATTTTATCTTTCTCTAAGCCTGTGGGGAAAGTAAAATATTTAATACCTGATTTTCCTATGTTTTAGTCTATTTTCAGATTTCCCCAAGGGTCCTTCTCCTTTCCTTAAGCACTCAGTACTTGGCACTTTAAGTTTATAAAATTTAACTTGTGCATTTCTCTTTCCAAGTTTTCCTTGCTTCTCTGGACACCGCATGCTTAATTTAAAACAGAGATCATAAAATTATGAGTTAGAGGACCATTCCAGATTGGTGATAAACATTTCTAGATATTTTCCTTTTAAAGATTAGTATTTAGGGGTTCTTTGCTGTTTTGCATGCAATTCTGACCATCACCTCCGTGTCCCCAGCTCTGCTCAGCTCCTTCTTGAACTCCTCCAGAAGCCAAGTGAAATCTCCATCAGAAAAGGTCCTTGAGCTAAGCAGGGGGGCAGACATGGTGATCACCCTATAAATTGGGGTAGAGCTGGTAGTTCCAAACCAGTGGCTTCAGGAGCCCCAGGAGAAGTACCTGCATTCATATCCCAGCACTTCTGCTCCTCTGCAGTGCTCACACCGTGTGCACAGTGGGAAAGCAGCTTTGGACACCCTCAAGCTTTTTACTGGATGGTAGGGCGAGCTTTTCACTTTAGGGCTTTTGCTTTCTTTGTTGGTAGTAGAGTTCAAAAAGTGTAATTGTCTTTCTATTTCCACAAAAAGAAGTATGTGTTGACAGAAACTTAATGGAGCTAAAACTCAAGAGCTGAGATGGTTTAAAATGTGTTTCATATGAGCTCATTCAAGAAAGATGGGCTGGAGAAATCAATGTGATGTTTTTAGTTGGCCCGTGATTAAAAAAAATGTTGAGAAAGAGCTGTTCTTAATCATTTCCAAATTATGCGGTTGTGAAATGAAACAGGGACCTCTGAGCTCAGTGTCATGTGCGCTCCTGATAAAGCCCCACATTCATAATCACTTTCCCTTTGAAAGACCTGCAGAAAAAGCCCAGTCCATTCTTCCTCTTCAATTGTCTTTAATCGAAAGGGAGGCCGATTTCTGTTCCATTCTTCACTGACAATTTGCATACCACTGAAAGCTGTGTGATCCATATCTTTTAATTATCCTTATTTCAGATCTACTTATTAGAATCTATTAGAGATCAGTAAATGAAGGGCTCCAAGGAAAACTGAAGACACAGAGGCCATGACTGTGGTCAAGTGTGGAAAGATGGAGCAATTGTTGGCAATTCTATTACTTTCTGAATTATATACTTTAGGTGTTAAAGCACTGATCAAAGGGGAGAAAATTATAGAGCTAAATCTGGAAGAATGTTTAAAGTTTGTATAATTAAAAGTTTGGGGTGAGGGCATTATAAGAGGGAAAAACATAATTGGGAGATGGAATTTGGGATGTCTGAGACCTAATTTAGCTACATCCATCACTGGTTTCAGTTGGCACACAGAGGCCAGACATGCATATCATTAGCTCGACTGCTTTATTTTTCAGAGATGCATTTCATCAGCTGGAATATTTTAGCTATGTGGGTTCTGACCTAAACAAAAGTGTGGTTTATTCATGATGCATTTGCTGCCCCAAAACCTTCAACTTGTGTGGAGCCCATCTAGATTATCCACTTCTGGAAAAATAATCAGAGGTTATCATGGTTATATAAAGCATCAACTTTTCTAAATAGCCCTTATGTTCAGCTAGCCCTACATAGAACTGTAAAATCCCTTCTCATTGGTGGATGGCTGGTGGGTGGTTCATAAAAGCAATGAAGGGGATTTGTGAGCCTGCTGGATATACAGGAGGTCAAAAGTGCTCTTCTCTCTAGAAACTTGGGACTAGAAGCAAGCCCCTGACAAAATGGAATGCTTGTGTTTGACTGTATTTGGGGAGTTTTATGATGGGTAGCTTGGGGGAAGAGTAAATGAACTTGGGAGGAGGGTATAAAGATACAAAAACAACTGTCTAAATTCTGTGTGACTCTTGGTGATCTATCCATGTGACATCACCAAGAAATAGAATTCAATGTAAACCAAGTCACTAACAAGACAATTCACTATGGATGATCCACTTTAAGACGACTCTTCTTCTGCAATGGATGGAGATTAGGCAGGAACCCTCCAGTCTCTCATGCTACTCTGCAACGACCTGTAGATTCACTCATTTCTGTGTTTAAGGAAAGCTTATTGACTTGCCCCCCCTTCTCATTCCAACCAAACAGTGAAATAGAGAGCTGAGCAGACAAAGAGTAGGAAGCTGCCAAGCTCCTGCTTACACCCAGGGAGCTAGGACTCAGCCTGGGCCTGCACTCAGCTGCCAGGGTGTCCCAGAAAAGTGGTTGGCTGTGAGTCCTTTGAAAATTCTATGACAGAAGAGTCCAGGATCTAGCAGTCATTTCTAATGTTGAGATACTCCTAGTGTCAGTTGCCAACCTACGGAAGCATATTATTCTCCTTCAGGTTAACTGCAATTAACCACACTCTGCACTTGTATTAGGCACATATCTCTTTATCTGCAACTTCTGCCTCCAAGCCACATTGAGCAAGTCCAACTTCTCATCTCTGTGACAGCAGGGCCATCTGTCTCCAGGTCTCCAGGAGGTCACATGCTGATGGGTAGGCATTCTGAATTCTAATACAGCAGGATAGCCTGAGCCTTTACCACTGCTGTAACTTGCAGTGGACACGGAAGTCCTTTCTCATCTCTAGTGCGATGGAACCTTCCTGGATGAGTATGAGCTTCAGGTTTCTATGAGACAGGGGAGGCAAAGGGAGGCTATCCTTCCCTGGTACTGGTCACTGAATGTCTACTAATGAAGTTTGTCAGAAGATTCATGCCTGAAAGCCTTGTGTGTGACTTGAAGAAATAGAAAGAGCAGTAGATTCACAATCAAATAGCCCAAGGTCAAAGGCACAGCCCTACCATTTCCTGGCATCATGACCTCAGGTAGATCACTTGCCAAGACTGTAGGCAGACCCAAGGTGCACCACACTTCACACCAAAACAGAGATATGGTAGATTGTTTGTAATCCATTCCTCACTCCTGACAAATGCCAGAGTATTAGCTAACCTCTTCCAATAGTCCACTCCAGTTTATGTTTTACCAGCAGAATCTTCCTTCCAAATCACAGAACCCTGGAGGTCCTTGCACAAACCCATCCTT